TGTATTCAAAACCCCTTGTCGGAATCCATCGTTCACACTGAACTCCCAAAAACGAATACAGCAGCTCGCTTGTAGCATTACTTCTCGCTTGAACTATTATCCATTCAAGCATCAACTCCTCTCTGACATCAACCTAACACGTAACAGGAACACAAATATATGAATCAGTGTTTTGACATCGTTTTGTCAGTATCCATGATCCAACGACTGCAGATCACGTAATCCGCCATCGTTATATTTGTAATTAATTTTCAGAAAAAAGTTTTCGTAGCGTTTTTGATGTTTTTTGGTTCTGTTTACATCGTCTTCTACCTCTTCGTAGTGATATTTTAGCGATTTTATGTGTTTTCTGCAGCGATTTTAATTGGGAATTTTGATTTATTACAAATATATGATATAATATGTAGTGCTTTGTGATTGGAATCTGGATCTGTTTGATTTGCCAAAAGGCGTAAATTTGCGTGAAAAGTGGGTGCACATTTGTGGTCAGAACGTTGGCATTGAAAAATCGACCGGTGCCGATAATATGCGATTGTAAACAATCATTAAAACCATATTTTATGAACTGTTTTTGCTAATTGTCATCAAGTTTCACTTTTTATATTTTATAATAAATACCAATCTAATCGCACTCAATCACCGCGCCTTTTTCGTTTTCTTTGTTTGATTTCATTTTTAGGCAGATGTCAAAAACGCTCAGAAATTTACTTTTTTCATTCTTTTCCGATTGCGTGATCTTGTTAGTTGGTTCATGGTCAGTATCGTTTGAACGACTATCGGAGTTGTGCTAAGGTGCACCTGGTCTCTCTCGGCAGTTCCGTTTCCTCTAAGTTTATGGGCGACGATGCTCTCATTGCGCGTGCTGAGGCTCGTTCGGACCGCATCGCTGTGTAGGCTGTTTCGAAGCAGGGCATTGTTGGTGAGGTTCCCTCGGTGATATCCCACGAGGTATTGCTTCGACAGCATGATGTTATGTTCTTTCACCGCCAGCATCTGGCTTTCTTCGTGGGGGTGCATATGCTGCCCATAAAGGAGCACAACAAAATGCTATGCACGCAATTCTTAGTAGGGAAGCATAGACGTGGACACCCGAACAGAAACCTGCTTGCAAACGAGCCCTCACCAAGGCACGTCAGAAAACATATATTTGAAAAATCGGACGAAGTCCAGAGGCAGGCCTCGAGGGTAATTCACAGGGAGTCGGTCTTAAGTTACGTAGACTCCAGACCTGTGAATGCCGTTCTGGACCTCGGGAGATTCGTGCCTGAGCAGACTAGAAGCGGATGTGCCCAATGAGTGTCCGGCATGCGGAGAGACACCCCACGACTCGAAACATCTCTTCGCATGCCCACAAAACCCCACTCAGCTGACGCCTCTGTCCCTATGGACAGACCCTATAGAAGCTGTACTCGTCTTGGGTATCCCGTTAGGCCGTGGTTATGTCACCAATTTTAATTGGCAATCAAAAGAGAAAAATTTCGGTGATTGGTGAGAAGTGGTTACGCTCTGTTTGCTGATTTGCGAGCACAGGGTTGCTACTTATGAAATGCATTTTTCTATTTCATACAATTTCGCACACAATGGCAGCACTGAAGTAAAAATGCAAATAAAAATGCATCAAAATTGAAGTCGGAAAATGAAAAATGGAAGAACAACTTCATATTTTTTCTTTCTTTAATATTTAATTTTCATAATAATATTTTTTTTAATATCTACTTTACAATAATAATAAAAAAAACATTTTTTACTATTCTAATATTTAATACACATACTTTTTCGCAAAATAGCGTATTGCTACCCTGAAAAATTGGCGTGCTGGCTGTTCGGTTGACCCAGCAAATCGTGGTGGCTGTTCGATTTCGAAATTCTCTCACTCCGTGCTGTGCACAACAACAATTGCTCGGTGATTGCCAATCGTAATTGGTGGCGTAACCACGGCCTAAAGGTACGACCGCACTAGGCGACGCACACGACACTACACAGCGCGGCAAAATATTCTTTGCATGGGTTCTTATGGAACCACTACGCTGCAGCGGAGCTATGCACTACGCTGCAGCGGAGCTATGCGACGCGACGCTGCGCGGCAAAGTTGACCAACTAGGCAAAAATGTCGCGTCGCGTGGTGTCGCGCAGTTCCGGTGTCGCATAGTGCGGTATACCCAGCGGAGCGACATAACATTTCATACTGTATTTTTAACTTGAAGAAATTGATTTCGAATTGTGAGTGAATATTCTCATGCATTTCATTCAAGAAGCAAATTTTATGTAAAGAAACATAACATTTGAGTAGAATTCGCCAATGAAATATAAAAATAAAAGGCATTAACATTACATCAGCGCGCCTCTGAATTTTCAGTGCGGTATACCAAAAAGTGTCGCGTAGTGCCGCTGCAGTGTCGCGTCGCTTAGTGTGATAGTACTTAAGTTGAGCTTGACGACAACGACTGAGACATGGAGTTGTTGTAGCCGCTACGATAACAACAACAACAACCTTCATACATTTTCGTACAGTTCATCTTAGGTAAAGAACATAGTAATGCGACAAAGAGAGCGACAAGACATTTTCGGATAATAGCGAGGAAAGAGACAAGAAGCGCCAAAACATAGTGAAGCAACCGTCAGCTCAGAAAAAGCCAATTTACACGACAACTTTTCACCCTGCGTTTTTGGCACGTTACCTTTTTAAAAAGTCTTCGGAAATCCTCGTGCATTTACACGATGACTTTTTCGTTGCGGAGTTTCTTGCGTATTTTTGACATTTAAGCGTAAAATTGTCTTTGGTCAACTCTTTCGTTCTCATTTTTAAAGCGGAGCGAATCGCGAACTCAAAGCAAAAATACGAAAAAGTGAACTCGATAAAAGCGAAACGTAAAAAAAACCCCTCGATTTCGCTCACCGTGCGTGCTTGCCTACCCCGCTGACTTCGCTACACTTCTTGCCTACCTTCTCGGCACGCATAACTTTCCACCCGGGGTGAAAAGTCATCGTGTAAAGCAAAGAACATAGTGACGTGACAAAGAGAGCGACAAGACATTTTCGGATAATAGCGACAAAAACAAACCTTTATTTTTCAATGTAGCAGCACATAGTGAAGCGAAAAAGAGCATAGCGATGAAAACAAAAAAAAAAGTGTTTTCGTTGCTTTCTGAGCTGACTGTTGCTTCACTATGTTTTTACGTTTCTTGTCTCTTTCTTCGCTATTATACGAAAATGTTTTGTCGCTCTCTTTGTCGCGTCAAAGCAACAAAAACAATTTTTTTTTGTTTTCGTCGCTATGCTCTTTGTCGCTTTTTTCGCATTTCGCTTCACATTGAAAAAAATGTTTGTTTTTGTCGCTATTATCCGAAAATGTCGCGTCGCTCTTTTTGTCGCGTCACTATGTTCTTTGACTTTGAACATCGAATTCGCAGGTTCGATCCCTGCTAAAGTCTAGAAAAAAGAAGTCTTATGAAGAGATGTTGTGATCTCCGAAATAGCTGCTATAACTTCTACCGCTTAGACTTTGTTGCTTTTTCAATTTTTCCTAATAAACAATCGTGATACAAAGCTCAATAAAAATATTAACAAGTAATTTTTAGAAAAAAAAACCGACTTCAACTCTCATATAAAAAAAGTATATATATATATATATCTCATGATCCGCTAATCGGATCTTAACCAGATTAGTATGGGACCACCTCTGAGACACTACCTTTCCGATGCAAAAAGAATTATCGAAATCGATTGACGTGACCCAAAGTTATGCGGTAACATACATAAAAAAAAAAAAATATTCCGACGAACAGATAACCTCCTCCTTTTTTGGAAGTCGGTTAAAAATAAGATGTTAATAAGCCACAATAACATTGACAAATACATAGTTTACGAAGAGCCTGCCTGAAACTATACAAAAAAGCAAAATAAGCAAATGGATATATAGAATTGACAACAACAACCACGCTGTCGAGTTTAAATAGCGGCAAATCAGCTGCACTTCATAGTAGTTGGTTGAATAAGGAAAATGAATTAGCAACAAGAGTTTACGGGATGTACATAGCCCAGTGGTTAACGCCTCTGACTTTGAACATTAAATTCGCAGAGTTCGATCCCTGCTGAAGTCTAGAAAAAAGAAGTCTGATGAAGAGATGTGGTGATCTCCGAAATAGCTGCTATAACTTCTACCGCTTAAACTTTGTTGCTTTTTCAATTTTTCCTAATAAACAATCGTGGTACAAAGCACAATAAAAGTATTTAAAAAAAAGTTCTTTACGTTTCTTTAGTTCACGAGATCATAAGAGACTACAGTGTACATTTAAACTTCCACATAGTTCATGAAACTTAATTTTGTGTTTTTACTTTCGTTTGATAGAACTGTAGAAAAAATTAAGCCAAACGGAGAAAAATTAATATTTAAACTACGAAAATCTAAGCGAATGAAAATATGCATATATCTAAAGTCCATTAAATCCTCCAATAAAAAATTGGGTGCTTTTTCGAGGAAAAGCGAGATTTTTCTTGGGTTTTAGTGCTTTTTCAAATTCAAAACTTGGCAACACTGTTGATAATAGTTGTCAAATGTAACGAGTTGCAGACAGCGGCAGTATTGCTGTCTCTGTACAAATGTATCCAAATTAATGTATTTTTGCTTTGCAGGATACTTGGTATAAATATGAACATATTTTCCCAAAAATGAGCTAACCAATCAGCTTACTCGATCTATCTTATAGGATTCTAACTAATAATTTTTGGAGTAATATGACAGTTTTGGAAGCAGTTGGGTGCATTCCATCTTAAAACAAAAGTTCCTTTATTTTCGCACTAAAATTAATTTGCAGAAAGTATTTTTAACCGATTAAAAAGAAAGAGGATATTATAAATTAGTCGAGTATATTGTTTGTAAATCACATTAAATTAAAATTCATTTCGCTGGGTTAAGATAATACATTGGATATATTTTCACGCTTATTTTGGATAATTGCAAGTCCATGACTATGGCAACAGTGTTCAGCTGTCAATTCAACCAATTTTTTGGCGAGACGAGAAAATTGGCGATGTTGTTGCAGGCAGGCAGTATTTTGCGCATTCTTGTTCTGCAAATTAAATGATTTAAGATAAAAAAGGATTCTCATCATCAAAATAAAGTTCGGTTAAAATTTATCCTTGTTTTCCTAAGTGAATTCCAAAGATTCATTAAACTGGGAGAGGTATGTACCGTTCTTAAATGTGTCCTCACTATTGTGACACTGCAGTCATGCATTTATTATCATTTCGTGAACTATAGCTGAATTTCTAGTTCCATGTCTGCTGCAAACTCCAACATGTCTGCCACTGATGAGTATGAGGAGCCTGCTCCTGCACCTACCTACAATTGCAAGCGGTGTAAAAAGGTACATATATGTGCATATATCATCTACCTTTGTATCTAATATCTATGTACATAGACCTTCTCATGCAAAAGGGATCAGCTGCTGCACAAAAAGGAGGTACATTTTCAATCTAAATCATCCTATGAATGCAAATTGTGCTCCAAGTACTTTTGCAATGGTGGCAATTTAGAGCGCCATATGAAGGTTCATAACGACGTTCGGCCTTTTGTCTGCCACATTTGTCAAAAAGCATTTGCTCAAGCAGTTAACTTACAACGTCATTTCTCAGTGCACAATGGAGAACGACCGTATCAATGCAGTTTTTGTACCAAATCATTTACTCAACAGAGTAACATGCATCGCCATCAACTAACTCATACTGGTGAGAAACCATTCCGTTGCAAGCGCTGTGGTCGCTATTTTTCCCAGCGTGTAAATCTTAAAAAACATATAATGGGCCACCTTAATGCGAAACCTTACGCATGTGCCATTTGTCAGAAAGCCTTTATACAACTAAGTAACTTCAAAAAGCATCTGCAGTCCCATGTTAAAGAAGGAGTTGAAGTAGATGTGGCCGCTACTGTTGCTGCTGCAACTGCAGCAGCGCGTCAAAATATTGCGCTCGCATCCCAACCAGTGTAAGTAAACCATTTCAATTGAGGGATTTACAACGGTGTCGTATTGTTGTGTGTCGTAAACTTTAAAAGTAAATGTTAAGAGAACTTGAAACCACAACCAACTATTTTTTAACACTTCGAAAATTCATAATGTGACTTTTATTGTACTTTGCGAACCCCCGTAATATATTTTTTAGGCGTTTAAAGTTTACAACATACAAAAATACAACACTTAACACACCGTTGTGAATACTCCAAATATATTTAATACACATGCATTATATTTCTTACTTCTTGAAGGGCTTTTGAATGTGCAATTTGCCGGAGCATTTATGATAATTTTGCTGACTTTGAAATGCATGAAAGTGCATGCACTGGAGCCGTACAACCAAAGGTGGACCCTCTAGACACAAATACTTCTGTTGACGACATGTATTCTCCAATAAAGTTCGAGGTTGCTCATCTGGACACTCATGAGATAATTATTGAGACCACCCGATAAATCTACAGAATAAAAACAGGGAAATGTTTAGCTATTTGTACAACGATTTAGGTGTGGGGGCGGAGGGGGAGGTGGTGTGGGCCCCACAAATCCCCCCGAAACGAAAGAGGATTAACGCCGCTTTATGACGCCGCCCCAGTGATGTAACCTTGGGAAAGGATGAGGTAACTAGAATTCCCTTTCTGTGTGGTAAATCTGGGGCTGCCGCCCCGTGATGTCTATTTTGGTGTTTTATAAAAATATCTTGTATATAAAAATGTATATACAAATTTATAACAAAAATTTGCAACAAATACCATATTTCCAACCGACATTATTGTTAAATTAGTGCACAGATTTAGTAAATTAAATTTTTGTAATAACCCTGCAAACCAAAGTTCCCGATACCTTAAGGAAATCGTTAGGAGTATCTCATTTCTGTAACGATTTTTTTCCGAATTTTCAAAGAAAATTATATGAAGTGGTTGACACGAACTCGTAAAGAAATTTCTGTAAGATATTCTTCACATAGCATTATTTTCGTTGCTTCACAGATTTTCTTCCGAAATTTCGTAAAAGAATGGAAGTGTGCGTAATTTATTTCATTTTAGAAAATTCGGCAAAAAATCCAATTAAATCTTAACGAATTCTTTAAAATTTCTTTACAATGCAGAATACTCTGAAAAAATGGTTTGCAGGGAAAGCATGAACTGTTGCCTACAAGTGTGTGTAAAAGTTTTTTGATTCGATTCACGCGGTCTTGCACAGCAACCCAAAATCGTTGTACAAATTCATAAACAGTACCCTAAAAACATGTTTAATGTAAAAAAAAATTAACTTACGTCTTGGGCTATACGTATAACAATAAACAAACAATATCTAATAATGAAAAACGTATTATAATAACTCATATACTTGTATGCGGAAAATATTGAAAAACCTATATGCTTTCTGGATAAGCAAAGAATCTTAAGATGGCATTGAGTTAGGCGTATTCAAATATTAAAAAACATCTTTAATGTAAGTACAACTCTGTTCGAAAAAATAGAAGTGACTTATAACAAAAACATTTAGATTTTTTTTTAATTTTAAAAACAACTGCTAGTAAAACTTTGGTGCCATGTGGTAGCCCTAAATACCGCACCACTGAATTTATACCATGTTCTGACCGACAACGAAAACACCTTGACAACGAGTTTTGAGATTGTGGGCTGAAGGCTGTTCACTCCGATTGTTGGTGTTTTCGTTGACATTTCTTACATCCTTTGTTTACAGTTTCGCTACACAAAAACGAAACCAAAATACTTTTCCTTCAATTTATTTTCATTAACAACCTTTTACTTCAATGCTTATACTAGGTTCACATATAAGTAGATTATCCTAATTTTCGAGCTTAACACCCTAATCTGTAATTATAACAAGAGATTAGCCATATAAAATTCGTCCCTTGTTAATCTGTAATTATAAAATAATCTCAGATTTAACCGATAACTTTTCGGTGTCCATCCTAGTTTTATCGATTGTTTTTGCGAAAGAGAGGAGAAATGCCAAATGTAAAAGTAAACATAAATGTACGCTAGCCAGTAAAAGAGGTTTGTAAAGGTATTTTTAATAAAATGTTAAGTTAAAATATATTTATATTGCTTATTATAGCAGAAAAACGTGATCACGGGGGCACAGAGAAGAAACATAACTTTTCCTTGAGATGTGAGAATAACAAGCACAACAAATTTGACGGCTAATAATCTGAGATTTGCCTGTGTAAACGGGGTGATTAAAAAACGAGCTTTGATTAAGATAATATTGATATGTGAACATAGTTTTACTTTATTTTGGCCAGCCATTTAACAATAAATCCAAAATTACGTATTAAAGATGAAAAAATATGACTTCCACTTCGATAAATAATCGAAAAAAACTAGTGCAGACACCGATTGGAATGAGTGGAACGTGAGTTTTCAAGTGGTTTTCAGCGAAAATTAGTTTTCGTTTGACAGATTTTACATGGACGAAAACACAAGTTTTAGGTCGAAAACCAGTTTTACCAACGAAAACATGTTTTCGATGTCGGTCAGAACTTGGTATTATACTTCAAAGTGAAAGTACATAACGTTCATTGCGTCGCCGTCACCGTCACCGGCAGTTGTCAAAAAAGTTGATTCGGTATATTTGTATGAAGTAATACCATGTTCTGACCGGCAACGAAAACACTTTGAAAACGAGTTTTGGAATTGTAGGCTGAAGGCTGTTCACACCGGCTGTTAGTGTTTTCGTTGACATTTCTTACATCCTCTGATTGCAGTTTTGCTACACAGAAACAAAACCAAAATGCTTTTCCCACATTTTCTCTTCATTAGCAACCTCTTTCTTTCATTCTTATTTTAGTTTGGCCAGCCAATTAACAATAAATACGAAATAGCGTATTAAAGATGAGAAAATACGACTTCCACTTCGATAAATAATCGAAAAAAACGTCGGTCAGAACATGGTATAAGTTACATGAACAAGCTGACGGTGACGGTGCCGCACAAATTAGCTCAACTCTCAATTTTGCTTATGCGATTGCGACAAATGACAACTATTCAGTGTTTTGTTTACACGTTTCAACGTAAATTTTTCCAGTTTGTGAAATTTTCAATATTTATAGAAACACGAAATGTAAAAAGTAATGGAGGAAAACCTAATACAAATAGTGAAAAGGTAAAATGCTAATTTTGGAAAGAGTATCAGCGAGTTAATGATTTTTCGGGCGCAATGTCAAACGAATGGTGTTGACTCATAAGCATCGTTGACGGTGATGGTGACGGTCTCAGTATATCCTGTAAAAAAACTGTAGTGAAGTTCTTTATGGGGATAAAGTTTCCAGAGGTGAAATTTTAGGTAGCATACAATTTCTTACCCGCATGGTTGCTTTTCAGCACCAACGCAAGAAACTTAAGAAATATTTAAAAAAAAATATGCGTATAGTGCATTAATTTTTGAAAGAAATACCATATAATGTATATACTCTGATTAATAATATGAAAAAATGGATTAGAACCACCGTTTAATGTTATATTTGATGCAAATTCATTTTGCCACTCGGGACGCTCTGCGCATTGCCACTGAATAATAGGTTTACTTAAATGCTTACATCCCTGGTCTTTCTTCTTTCTCTATTGCATCGTGGTGAATTCACATTTATCAGAAATGTGACAACAAAAAACGAAGTGAGTATTTTGTTTCCTAATTTTTTCGATTTCTATTGTTTAATGTAAATTTTATGTCTTTTTAGGATATGTTGAGGCAAAAAAGAAGGCGCAGTTGGAAAATGAAGTGATTAGTGCGAAGTAGCAGCGCAGGCACATTTGGAAAATTAAGCCGATAAGCAAGATAGAATTTGGGAAAGTGAGTGCCTGGGGCATAAATGCAGTTGGGCTCCAAATCTCGAATTAAAAAAAAAAATATTGGAATCGATAGAGATGATTGATGATTTTTTATAAAAATGTACGTTTTTCTTGAACTTCAGGCAATCGGAGCACCCTTTAGCCCGGTTGACAATCAGCTGACTTTGACATACAAATTTTAGATTGATAAACAAGTCTTGCGGCGGTATACTTTTTATAAATCGCAAATTACCACTAAAATGACGAGATTAGAGAATGACGGAAAATCGGATGTTAAATCTGTGAAATCGGATAAGGAGCGGTCCAACAAACGCTCCCACAAGAAAGAAAAACAGAAGCCTCAAACAAAAGTAAGTATTTTATTTTTTGGTTACATCTTTTTCTATAGCGCTTACATATGTATGTATGTACATATCGCAGGTTGTTATTCGACATTTGCCACCAACTATGACTGAAGAAGATTTTCTTAAACAGACAGATCCTTTGCCACCACACGACTTTTATTATTTCGCTGCAGCTGATTGGTCTCTAGGATATGACGCCACTTGCCGAGCCTATATAACTATGAAAAACTACGATGACGTATTTCTCTTTAGGGATCGTTTCGATGGCTATGTTTTTGTCGACACCAAAGGCGCTGAGTATCCCGCTATTGTCGAATTTGCTCCGTTTCAGGGACTAGTTAAAAATAAATCGCGTCGCGTTGACAATAAAGTGAACACTATTGAACAAGAACCACACTATCAGCAGTTTCTTGCCAAGTTGGAGGAAGATCGGGAGGCTGCTAAAGGTGGAGAGTGCAAACTGGAATTTAGTTTAGACCGGAAGAAAGAAGAAAAAATAACTTCCACACCGTTGCTACAGTATCTGGCTAATAAAAAGGAAAAGCGTAGAGAAGAGGCCAAACGCCGCCAAGAAGAAAAACGTCGACAACGTGAAGAAGATAAAGAGAAACGAAAACAGGCACAATCCCAACAGCAAGTGACGAAAATAATATCTAATACTGAAGGAGGCGCTAAAGGTGGCAACAAGTCAGCAAGTGGTAAGGAAAATATTGTGGGTGATAAAAGTAACCAACAACAGCAGCCAGAAGAAGGCAAGAGTTCGCGGTCTCAGCGGCGCGCTGAACGCAATCAAAGGAGACGTGAAGAATTTGTGCGAAGGCGGCAGGAAGGAGAGCAGCGTGAAAAAGCTACTGATGGAAAGACAAAAACGGAAAACGAAGTTGAACCGAGCACTGGCAGCGAAAATAAACTAAAAGAACAGACACAGCAGGCAAACAAGTCCGACGATGGCAAGCAAGCTTCTCGAAAGGAAGGTGGAAAACGATATAGTGAACGTCGTGAACGCGATAGAAACCGTAACCGCAAGGAAAAAGAAAAGGAAAAAACAAAGGATACCAAAGCCGATGACGAAGAAGTGAAAGCCGAAGGTAAATCTCCAGAGGCTATTAAGGCAGCGGCAGCTGCAGCGGCCGGCGGAGAAGCCATCGTCAGTGAGTCTGTAATGAATTTTATAAGAAGCGTGGCTACGGCCAAGGAGTTTGTGCCCAAGCATAAACAACAAGAAAAAGAAGGACTACAAAATAAGTCTTCAGATGAAGCCGTGGCGCAGACTACCGATGAAATGGTTGCTGATGCAAAAACATCAGTGGAGGAGCAGAAGAAAAGTGATTTGAATTTGGAAGATGATTTGCGTGCTCAAAAACAACGCACAGCAGAGGAACAGCGTCGCATAAGGAATAAGGTATTACGTTTCTAAAAAATTATTGTAAAATATAATGTTGTATTCCCTAGGATCGACCTTCGATTGCTATCTATCAACCAAAAGCACGATTGCGTATTTCAGAAGAACGCGATCCGAGTGGTTCTCGAGCACAGGGCAGCGGTAAAAGCGAGACTCGCAGTAACCCTACTTCAGATTGCGAGAGTGTTAAAAAGGAAGAAACACGGGGCAAAAAAGTTTCGCGTTACTCAGAGCGCCGAGCGGAGAGACGAAATAATAAAGATAAACAAAAGAATTTTGTAGATCCCATAGAGTCAGAACAGAAAATAGATGCAGTGGAACAACAGAATCCCGATGGAGGCGAAGGTTCGCAACGTAATATTAGTAATACAGAGGAAAAAGAGCCACGCAAATCTTCTGAGTAATACATTTCTGAAAAATCAATAAAATATAATAAAACTAGAAAATTCGAGATGTACATTGAAAATTTCTTTAGAAGAATGACCGAAAGCGATGCAGAGAATGTATGAGAATATGGCTCTTTGTCTGCTTGAACTCGCTAATCTCCGAAACTAGTGAACAGATTTTACTGGTGGGGTTTTAACTAGTGACTCGACAGTAACCTCGGAATAACATAGGGTATAAAACAATGGCCTCTGTATGATAAGGTTCGTTTGGGTTCGGTTCAGAATACATTAAAGCATTTTATTTTGCAAGTTTTGTAATCCACTTTGTCTAAAAATGCAACCCTATGGTAAAACTGCTAATATTTTTGAGTTTAATGGCATGGTGAGTTATAATTTCGTCCATATATAAAATGTTCGAATAAAATGCATATCACCGCCAACAAAAAAAAAATAAAAATAAAAATCGGTGAAAATTTTAAGATATGGGTGTTTCATACGTCACATACGTGACAGTCGTACGTTTCAATCAGATACAAACAAGGAAAAACATTTGTTTTCTTTTACTTTTTTAGACCCTTCTATAGCACATAATTAGCTCTACATTTAGCCGAAAAATTAAAACAATCGAATCGCATGGTCCCGAAATATAAACAATTAAAGAGAGTGTCGTTATGTGACAGAAAATGGAAATCGATTTTTTCTTTTCCTGGAAAATCGCAAAACACTCGTATTGTGAATGGCTCTTTTCATGAAACTTGTTTTAATATGATTTGGAGTAATTCTGTTGTTTTTAAAATGTGAAACGTAAATTTCCATCGCTATATTTTTGTTAATATTGCTTTTAAATGTTTTTTTTTTTAGCATAAATACGCATTTTATGTCAAATATACTTTATATTTTGACTTCAGCGCCGATTCAGGGTAATTTTTTTGGAAATCTATGATTTATTATGTTTCAACTACAATACGTTAGATATATGACTTTTTTTTTTTGCCGCGGTATACCTTTCAGTCCACTTTATGAAATTGTTCAGGAGAGCCGAAAAATCGATGTAGTTTCCATTATCTGTCATTCTGCATCAAAAACTACCGCCCTTATTCTAGAACCCGAATTTTCGTAATTCGTAGCTACGCTGCGAAAAACGAAAAATCCACATGCTGCAACCCTTGCGGAAACATGTGCAGCATTGCCAGCTATCAGTTGTTTTTCGAAGCTAGCTGAATGAAGGAAAACAAAGTGGAAAGGAATTAAAAAAGCCCTCATCATGTGCTTGTTTATTGTAAAATTGGTTAATTTTATATATTTTGAGGAAAATTATGGATTCTGATGTATTTCCAATTATAGCAGCAGAGTAAGCGGGCGCTATGGCAATGGATTCATAAAGTTATGCGGAGCTGTCGGGCATAGTAACCATGGGCGCATCTATGTCAGCTTCTAGTTGAATTGTTGAACCACAAGCCAGAACTCCTCCTATGCCTGAAGCTCTGGTTCTCAATCCAGTTAATGCAATAAGAGCTTCTTCCAAGCCATTGAAAACATGCACTTTGTTAGGTCCACCACCTGTTGCGCTTGCTTCTGCCTTCGGCCGCGCTTAGGAAATATAACCCTTACTAAGTAGAATTCTCCTTTCTGTGTTGCGGGGAAGAGGGGCTTCCGCATGTCAAAGGTATACAACATTTCTTGTGCATATCACTCTGGCTACGCCGTGCACAGTATTTTTTCGCAGAACCCACGTCGAAATTTGCAAAAAAGTACATAGTGCAAACCGAGTTTATTAATAAGCTAGTGGTAGGAAATTTGAAACATTTATCTTAAATAAAATGTGAATCCTTTGATGCGTTTATGCGTTTGGACACAACTACCGAAAATCATTGTACAAATAACTAAATCGGACCCAAGTTTCTCAATAAGGGGCAACAAAGATTTTGTTTCGGTCGTTTATATAAAGCAGTGGATAAAAATATACGTATATGCCAAAGGAAAATTTATCTGTTTAAATGAACACCACCAATATTTCTTGCAAACACACATCGATTTACATCTTTTATTTCGCCTCCGACACAGAATTGTTTTCGTACAAAATTACGCAAAAAAGCTTACTTGTTCGTTTTTAGGCATGCCATTGTTACGAATTTCGAAAGTTCGAAAATACGATTCGGATTGCAGCACACTATTTCTACGATTCGTATCAAAATCCGAATACGAAAGAGTTGCAGAATAGGGGTGTACATTATGGAAAAAAATGGGCTTGGCACCTTTTCACCTTTAGGTAGCGATATAACGAGCTATACTTTTATAAAAAAATAATGAACATTAAAACAACAAAAGAGAGGTAGTCAACTATATACTTGTACATATCATCTTTTAAAGTACAAAACTGCGAACAAAATGCAAAACCGCGTATGTGAAGTTCCATTAATTACACTGTGAGACAAATGGTAGGGGTCAGTGATCGGGAAGGGTTCAAACTACCGGGGAAAGTTATATCGGTAAAAAAGAAGTTATACGTGTCCCAGCGAAACGCCGGGACACGTCTAGGAATCGAGATATATGTATAACTATCATATAGGGGAAATTGTCACCTTTGGTGGTCTTTTTTTGACAACTGTTGATTATATAGAAAAACGTTATTTGAACAGATTAAAGGAATTGTAATTTTTAATTTTTTTAAATTTGATTGAGCAAAATCGGACTAGTGGTTCTCGAGTTATGTCAAAAAAAGACCACCAAAGGTGACAATTTCCCCTATATGATAGTTATATATATATCTCGATTCCTAGACGTGACCCAGCGAAACGCCGGGACACGTATAACTTGTTTTTGACCGACATAACATTTCCCGTTGGTTTCATCCCATCCCGATTTTGACTGTCGCATAGTGTTATTTTCTAGAAACACTCATATTTCAAAATGGTTCTCCTTTTTATAAAGCAATCGCATTTCTGGCTAGTATATTTCAGGACGAATGGATAAGGATTGAGCCAAGAGATATTTTGTGTGAGCAAATCCAATTTTTGGCAGCAAATGTCAGTTACGCGGTTATGCAGAATATGACGGCACGCGGTTTTGTACTTTTGAGGAGGGCTGCCACATATTTGAAAATTTTAGCTCAGTTAAATTGATAAAATAAACAAAATATTGCAATGTGGGTATTGAACTTTAGATTTTTAAGAAGGCTAACAGCCGAAAATAAGTTTGAGGAGGATGGCCACCTGTTGGAAAATTTAACTCAATATAATTGATAAAATAAATGGCTTATTACAATAAATGTATCAAACTAAAGAGGTTTAAAAAACATGACTGTTGGAAATATATTTAAGGAGGGTTGCCACCTATTTGAAAATTTGAACTCAGTTAAATTGATTAAATAAATGGAATATGCAATTGGGTATCCAACTAAAGAGTTTTAAGAAGACTTACAATCGAAAACATGTTTGAAGAGGTTTGCCAGAGAGAGTCGGTATATAAAATACGCGCAGAAAAAAATTAATAAAGAACTACTGATAGATACAAATGAAAAAATTATAAAAAGCGTAACGGAAACATAAAAATATCCCATGAAATGAAATAATGAAAACTTAAAATTGATATCACCATTCTCTTACATTAACATTGTTAACAGTTGCATTTTAATCACAAACAATTTCGTTTGGGGTCGCCATAGCCTACTAAGTATATTGCGAGTAAAGAAATTTTGAATAACAATAGATATTATTAGTTGCGTTCCAGATGCTTCACGATATTCACGAAATTCACGATTTGCACGAACAGCTGTTTTCTCCATTAATAAACCTTATGGGAGGTGGTCACCTGGAACGACTTCCTGTAAAAACCTGCAAATCGTGAAGCATCTGGAACGCGACTATTATTATAATTATGATTATTATTACTATTGGGAACTTCTATTATATGCGAAAACAAACATTCCCAAATTAAAGCTAAAGCAGAAGGCTATTTACGATCGCATGATGCAAGTGTTAACATAATAAGAGCTGCAGAACTGAACCACCTAGGAACAACTTTTACAAGCACGTGTAATTTCTGGCGTGTGCCGATGACATCGACATCATCGGTAACAAAAACCTCGAAGTCTGTTCTGCCTTTTTCATGGCAATACTCTGTCAAAATTTTGTTTGATTCTATCCGTCCGTTTAGGCGGCAACCTGGCACATTCATACATACATACTTCCACAAATATATAGTAGATTTAAAAAAACTTAATGTAATTCAAAAACTATCACTTGCATTTGGTTTTACTCAATACCGATTTGAGCTGTCGCACAGTGTTATAAAAAAAAAAATATATTAATGAAAAATCGTTTCTCTTGTATGTACATATGTATGTACATATCGATGGCTGGGTGGAAGATCGACCTATCTCGGCAACCAGTTCGAAAACGCCCTATCCCATAAAACTTTTCAAAAACGCCATCCTTCAGAATTTTATTGAAGACCACTCTATTTCAGAATTTTATTGAAAAACGCCCTATATCAGAACTTGGTTGAAGAACGCCTTATCTCGGAATTTTTTGAATCGGCAGCTGAGATAAGGCGTTTTTGAATCGAATTCTGAAATAGGGCGTTCTTCAATAAAATTCTGAGATAGGGCATTCTTCAACCAAATTCTGAAATAGGGCGTTGTGGAAAAATTTTTTGAGATAAAGTGTTTTCGAACTGGCAGCCGAGATAGGTCGATCTTCCACTCAGCCATCGATATGTACATATTCCGAATTTTTTTTTATTCATATAAAATTACGCGCAATAAGTGCAAAATAAATTTTCTTCTATAAAAAATTTCATGCTAAACTATCGAATGTGAAAATCGGCACTTTTCAGGAGAGCAAAGAAATTGTAAAAAATATTGTCATTAGACAAAAGTGTGGGATTCGACACTTTGTTAAAGCCATTATCCTCTGCTTCTAAGAAGACTAGAAATTTGACGATTTGCCAACTTCCGTATCATTCTAAACGCATGCGCAAGGTATCGTAAATCAAAAAGCAGTTTTGCACATTCGATAGTTTGACATGGTAGCGACGATATACTTATTTCTTCAAGAAAATTTAC